GCCCTTGTTATTCCGATTTCCGAGAGCTTCTTTCTCGATTTTAGAGTTGCCTGCTTCAGCTGAGGTCAGCGTCATTGAAGCATACACCACCAGCCACTGATTGCCATGCAACTCTTCATGGAACAGAACTGCTCCCAGACTGTAGCTTGAGGTGTCTGATGTGACAATGAGTCGTTCCCTCGGGTCATAAAGAGCTGGGACCAGTTGTCGAGTTAATGTTTTTTTTAACTTCTTGAAAACCCTGTTGCTGCGCGAAGTCCCACAAAAATTGTGTGACTTTCGCAAAAGCTCTGTCAGCGTTTGCGCGATGGCGCCGAAATTCGGAATGAACCGAGATACGAAGTTCGTCATCCAGAGAAAGCGCTTGATCTCTCTAACATTGGTTGGTGGCTTCATTTTAACGATGGTTTAAATCATACCCTTGTCTCGACGCATGCCGCTTTGATCGATGATGCGACTCAGAAACTTCGCACTCTTTTGTTAGAAGGAACAATTCACTTTGTTCAGCGACACACCTGCCTTGAATAACCACTCGATGACTAGGGCAAGACGCTCGTCGTGGTACGGCTTGGTCTCTCCCCACACTAGCTTATCGTCTATGTGGCACAAGACTCCATTCGAGCCCTCGAGTACGTGACTCACCATCCTTTGGTAGTGCTCCGGAGCTGTTGAGATTCCAAAGAACATCGTTTTAAACTTCTTAAAGGAGTGATAAAGGTGGTCTGTTCAGATGACTTTGAATCCACCTTGATTTGGTAAAATGCGGAGTACGCATCGAGCTTCGAGAAATACTTCGCTCCTGCGAAAAGTCCCAACGTTTGTTCTACGCTTGGAATGGGGTGATGCTCTCTGAGAACCCCTTTGTTAAGCCTGGTGTAATCCACGCAAAGCCTGACATCGCCATGTTTCTTTGTTATGATCACTAGCGGCACGCACCAAGGAGACGGTGCTTAGACTTTTTCTATCACTCCTTCACACTCCAGCTTTTTCAGTTCAGCTTCAACGGCGTCGTGCAGCGGGATGGGAATGCGCTTCGGAAAGGTTATAGGTAGTGTGAAATGCACCGCATTCGGTTTCAGTCTCACAGTGAAACCATTCTCGATTTTACCGAGGACAGAGAATAGCTTTTGTATATTTTTCGTAGAGCGTCAGAGTTTGGTTTAACTGAAATATCACTCACCCGTCTTAATATGTCGTGCTTCTCTATCAGACCTAAGTTCATCAGTGGCTAGTTGAGCTTTCGGGCAACGTTGAGTCCCTACGGGGTGGTTGCTCCTTTGTAAACCACAGTTTTAGATCATGCCTAGCACCTCTAACTCTTCTTTAGAAGGCCCGATGAGGAATCGGTCAGACTCACGCAGTGGCGCTGATGAGCTGAAGCTGAGATATGTATCCTCCGGCAGAATTTAGACATCTGCACCATTGTCCAATCAGAACTCCACCTCCTGTCCGTTGACGCACCACTGTATTCTCCACGGGGTCGTTCAACAGCATGTGATTGCTTCTAGGAAGCTTGTACTTTCTGAAGGCGTGCTTGACTGGAGAGGAAGCACGCGTGATGATCGGCATGCAATGGCAAAATATATTTTTTGCAAAACTTTTTGCAGTGCAATTCTGACACCGGACATTCTTTTCGGAGGTGCGTGTCTCGCTTACCACACCAGCTGTACGAACGCCGAGTCTTCGGTTGCCCAACTGGTTGCGCTTGTTATCAGCGGGTTGTAGTTCGCTAACTGCAAGCAGACGTTCGATGGCATGTCTTCCGAGCATGAATATGTAGTTGCTGCCTGAGGAATTCTTCGAACTGCTTGGCGCGAAGTACTACTTTCTCCAGTGTGAGGTCTTCTTCAAGCTGAAGTTTCGTGAACAACGTTCGGTCACGCACGCCGACGACAATCCTGTGACAAATTGACTCGTCATTAAGGTTGCCGTAGTCGCACCGCTCGACTAAAGTATGCAGAGCTGTGGTGAAGTCAGTCAATGGTTCACATTCGTCTTAAATACGGTGATTGAAGAGCGCTCTCTCAAAGATCATGTTTTTACACGTGTTTTATGCAGGGGTCCGCCACGGCTCCGCTGACGTATTTTCGTCACGGATATGACGTTGTAAAATATACACAACATATTGCAAAAAATGGTTATGCAAAAGCTTTACTGAAGGGCGTCGAATCATTGACCTTTCAAACAGCAGCGCACGGCACTTACCACTACACCACAGTGCTCATGTAGTCAAGAGCGCTAACGGCAAGCCATTTATATACACCATATACCACTTGGCGGCCCTCAGAGCTCCGCAGATTTTGTGCGTTTTCGTCATCAGTAGCGAGATGGCACAACAAACGCGCATTGTGCCGGCTCGTCGTCGCCTCTCACGTTTCAGAGAGCACCGCGGTCACGAAGCGTGGTCTCTCCAGCGAGCGCGCTTATCAGCTTGTGTTTCGAGAGAGCACGAACGTCACTTCGCTCGCTGCTGCAGCCACATTTACGAAAGGAGCACGCTGATACCACACGAAGTAAGAATTGTGACAGTTGTTCGCGCTTGTCCTGTGTATACTTGTGCGTTCGTGTCATGTGCCTTTCTTTCTGTTTAGACAGTTAGCCCGCACTCGTCCTGTGTATGCTCATTTCATGCGTCCTTTCTTTTTGAGGTACGCGCTACAAGTTTCGAGCAGCTTTTTCAAGCCGTTCTTCTTCTGAATCTGCAATTTGTTGCTACAGCATTCATTCCTTCAGTCTTGTCACGAAACAATGCAGAATAGGCGCTCGACTGCTCCTGTGAAGACATGATTCCCTTCCGTGTTTTACCGACTCCTAGAAGGAGGAATCAGTCGCATTTTTTTAACGACAAAGTGACTGTCGAAGGCTTCGGTGACTTTGGAACACTTCTTCGCGTTGATTGTCAGACGTAGTGCCGTAAGTATGTCTTCAGCTTTGCCACTCATGATGCAGATCAATGAGTTGATTTGATTAGTATCTGGTTAGTGATGAAGACCACTAGCAGTTCGGAATCACTCATTACTTCGCTTCCTGGCCATACATTGTTTGGCGATGATGCTCAAGGTTTTAAGTGGTCAGAGCTTGATGCGACGATTGTTTTGTGCTGCGGTTTCAGTCATGGTTGTAGCTTTTGATGAGAAATCACTTGCTGACGCGAGGTATCGCTATCCAAACTTCTGACACCATGTTCTACAGTGATGCGCTGCAGATTTGAATAATAAAACTGGTTTATTCTTGCTCTAACGATACGTGACTAGGTATGGCACACTGACACTGCATAGGTGGCGCGCCAAAAAATGATTTGCGCGCGTTTTCACTCATCGAGGCACCATAGAGCACCTGACGACGAGTCGCCACACAACTCAGCCACTCACGCCTAGACGACCGGCTACAGTGTACCGCGATGAGAGCACGCGTGTTCGGCATTCCCATGCTTTATCTTAGCACGAACAGCTCGAACATTCCGCCCGTATTACTGCCCTGTGGTTTCGAAAAATTGATTTGTCCGGAGAATAGCCGTAAAAGATAGTAAGTTCTCAGAGCAGTCAGTAGCTCCGCATAGTGGAGTGCCCCTGTATATCCTTTTGGTTTCGAAAAGAGTGCTGTGCCGTAATGTAGATTTGCTCAGCATTTTCTGGCTGCTAGCTGGGATTTGTGTCCAGCTATCGCAGGCTGACACACCTCCATTGATAGGTACGTGCTGCGTCAATCACGCTACCCACTTCTGCAGTAAGAAAAAAAGAGGCAGTGGGTAGCTGCGTCAATTGCTCTTTCGCGTGGTATGTATTCCCAGCCCGCAGTATATATGCACGTGGACGTTGATAAAGCAAACCACCGCGGCAGCATAGCACGTATGGTGTCGTGCTGCTATTCTCGAGAGCGTGGTGTAGATTTGCGGCCACGGCGGCCGCTTCTCAATAGGGGTGATATACAAAGGCCTACCGTGTAGATTCATACGCACAATAGAGGACCCCAAGTGGGTTAAATTAATCTTGGTAATCACACTACGGCGCACCTCACAATCATATCTTGTATGGCACCTGAAACCCTAGCAATTATTATTATTGTTATTGTAATGTCATTATTCTAAGGAGACAAAGGTCAATAAGAAAAACTGACACAATAAGTTAGGTGAATGCACCAACGAGTAAAAATCTAAGACAAGTGCCTCTTTCAAAATGGCAAAAAACAACACATTGGCGCTTTTTTTCCCTGATGTATCTTTACCTGTTAACTACACACCTGATCATACCGTTGATCGTACCCTGTATTGCTAACAATGTGAGCATAACACGTAAATGCTTGTTATAACCTCAAAAATAAATTAATTGTGAAGTTTTTGCTTCATATATATTGACAAAAAACATTGTCCTAATTTTGGTACGATTAATATTTCTACTTATTGATGCCTATGAAAGTCATACTTTTTAAAATTTAATTTTGAGGCAAGATTACATGAAATATATTATCCAAATTAAATTGTCACCCTGTCAATAGTTTCTGCGAAAAAGCGCATAATGAAATTGCGAGAATGTTACCCCAATAGTTGATTATTACAAAAAGTATTTGGACATCCATGGTAAAAAAGGCTACTGAATCTTAAGCTAAATGACATTTCTTTTTCGCTCACCGAATTTCTAATCAGTGTAATGAGTAGTTTTGTTTTAAAGAAAACGCTAAAACCAACTGTCGCATTTACAGTACCGTCACCTCAACTGTGATTGTATATGCGTACTGCTGCAGTGAAATAATTTCATACCGAAGGTCTTCTCTTTTTCAAGATATTAAGGTTCTTTGACTATAAAAACACACTTTACAAGAAAAAGTATGGAAACCTATATACTATACATACATGTGTGCAGAAGTAAACTCGTGCGTGCGTTGTATTCATAGCGTTTCTTCCTCGAAAAAGAAGAGAACTCATCTGTCAAAGACGTTCCAACACCAGGAGGTATCACTTCTGTTCGACGACTAAATTCCTTCTTCGCTTTGTTCCTTTGCAGGATGGCTGGACGGACGACGCTGGCTATGTCACTGTCGATGAGCAGAATGACTGCATATTGGGCAGCCTCAAACGCAAGGGTTCCACACTGAGGTTTCTGTTTACTCGAAAGTTCGACACCTGCGACAGCCACGACTACGTCATCGAGGTAGGTATACCTCGAGACATTGCTTGAAGAGAGGGTGTGATTGTTGTGACAAAAGAAACAGCAGTGATGTAACTACAACTACTTTTATTTCAAATTATAACATGCTGCTACGAATCCTAGTTTTTTGAATAACTGCCCCATCTTCAGCTGCATGGAACTGGATGTATCGATTGTTTGATTAATATGTGGATGTTAACGTCCCAAAAACCACCGTATGTATCGAGACAAACGAGTATTTCTGATTGTGAATAGGTTTCCGCGTGTTGAATTACACGCAGATCGAAGCTGGTTGCAGCGTTGGTGGCCTTAAAATCGCAGCGGTTCCAGTAGGCAGTGGCAAATTCTGAGAGAAATACTTTAGGCCATAACACGAACGACATCCTAAAGCATCAGTAGTGGTGCCAAACTGCAAATAAGCTTGATGCATCTTCATATTTCTAAACAGAAGAAAGAATATTAAACTACAAAAGTTGAAGCATAAAAGTTTAAACTGTTCTACCCCTGAAACGAAAAAATGCTATCGTGAATTTTTCCTTAGCTTTATAAGAGCATAACATTATTTGAAATCATATTTCAAGCTTCAAGTGTCGCAAATTTGAAGCTATAGCATATTACAGTGTAACCTGGGGAAAAGTTAAAAATTATAGTGCATTTCTGTATCACACAACTAGCACAGACCATCATGCGTATTGTGCCAGCCCGCCTTGCAAATGCCACGAGGATCCTCGCCACTGCAATCAAACCTCAGAACAAAGTTCCACCTTCATCTTCTTTTACTAGCGGACCCTAACTAACGGAGGAGTCTCGACCTCTCCCACGCCTAGCCGTGTGTGGCTGAGCCGTGTCCGTGGAAAAAGGAATCCTGGGGGTTGAGCCGGTGCCGGGTAATTGGACCTTTGAGACCCCCCGGCAGAGGCAACACACCCCTTTGGCCCCAGCTTCACGCAGACGGCACCCCTGGGCCGACCCACCCAGGGGAAATCGGCAGTCGCCTTTTCCTGCATCTCTCTTCTTATATCTTCGTCTTTTTCTTCTCTTTAGATAAATCTTGTCTTCTCATTTACTTCATTGTTTCCTGGTGGCTATGAAACAATGAAGTAAATTAACCTTGTTTGACTATCCTACACAGAGCAAACCATATTCGGTTAGAGTAACGGCGCACTGCTGGCGTAGTGCAGACTTGTTCACATGTTCTGCCGCGTCCCCATGTTGGGCTCCGTGGTGGGTGGCAGGCGCCGCTACCGAAGAAGCCACTTTTTCATGGGACCTCTGAACCCCCCTGTAACCGATCATGCCCTCGAAATAGTACGCACCGATGCATCATCTCTTCTTTTTCCCCGAAACATTGAAAATTTCCCAAATTTTATGATCTTCACTGTGAACAATCCCCAAACAAAGCCACAGCAATCTCACTTTTGCTTGTGGCCAAGTGCCTAAAATACATAATTGGAACAGGCTATAAGGCCCCAAAGATGGCAAGTGAGGACATTCTCCTCGAATTAAAAGACAAAGAAGAGTTCAACAAACTCTCACATCTTGTAGCTTTTGGCAATATTCCCGTATCAGTAAGTGCACATTGTACCACGAATACAGTGAAGGGCGTAGTATCCGATGAAGACCTGAAGACACTAAGCGAAAATGGACCAAGGCATACACGTGTGCAGCGCATAAAAATCAGACGCAACAACACTGAAGCTGCAACAAAGCACCTAATTATCATCATCATCATCATCACTATCATCAGCCTGACTACGCCTACTGCAGGACAAAAGCCTCTCCCATGTTCCGCCAATCAACTCGGTCCTGTGCTTGCTGCTGCCAATTTATACCCGCAAACTTCTTAATCTCATCTGCCCACGTAACTTTCTGTCTCCCCCTAACCGACCACGCCTAGCATAGCCAGGTCAGAGCCACCTGCCCCTTTGGTGGGAGCAGCCAGCGCTGGCCTACCCACAGCCAACCTGTCCACACCGGTAGCCTCTACAAGCCCTGGCAGCCGCCAGAGCAACGAAGAGGCTAAGGTGGTCCCAACAACTTCTTGCCCGGTGTAGTCAAAGACTTCGTCATCTGAGGCGCAGTCTAAGCGACACACAGATCGCTTTGTGCAGCGAGTGTCCAGTGCCTCTCAGGAGGCTATGGACACCACCTCTATAGAGATTCCGGCACCATTAGCCTATAGGCAAACGGTGCAGGTAGCGCCAAAGGAGTGGTGACCTCTTGTCGACCGCTCCAAAAAGACAGAACACCAATTGCAGGGCCTCACAAAGGCCCTGTAAAATGAGCCCACTTCACTCTTGCCTACGCACAGCACTTTTCTCTAGTTCATAATGGATAAAATCATTCAGTGGAATGTTAGAGGGCTACTCAGAAATCTCGAATGACGTACAAGAACCACACCCAACTCCGAAGTACAGCAACTTTCTCCGCCAATTCATTACTTTCCTAAGGGACCGTGAAGACGCTGTCGTATTATCTGGTGGAGTAGCCATTATAGCTGATCGAAGTGTGGCATACCAGCAGTTGAAGCTCCACACAGCCCTTGAGGCAGTGGCCATTCGGGCTGTACTTTTTAACTCATCACTGTATGCTACCTGTATATACCACCACACCATCAGTTTAAAAGGCACGACTTGGAAATGTTAATAGATGAACTCCCAGCACCCTTTTAGATTTAGATTATTTTAACGCACACAATAGCCTGTGGGATGATTCTCGCTGTGATGCTCGAGGACGTCTCATTGAACACCTTCTTTATTCGTCTAGCTTATGTCTCTTAAATACAAAGGAGCCTACGTATTTTAGCCTAGCAAACAATTCACACTCCTCGAAATATCTTAGCATCTCATCACCATCTCTTTTAGCCGATTCTAAATGGAATGTTCATAAAAACCCTTATGGGAGTGACCACTTCACGATCATCTCGAGCGCGCCGAACAAAGGCCAACCATTCCCACAAGTTTCGAGATGAAAGCTCGACTCAGCTGATCGGGAACAGTATCAAACTCTTACCCACATGACATGGACCGAGATGTCCGCTGTGACTATAGGTGACGCTGTCACCTATTTCACAGATTTTATTCTTGCATTGTTTATTCTTGCATTGTTTATTCTTGTTTATTCTTGCATTGTTCAAACCAGTGGAAAGAGTTACAATCGGCGAGTTCCATTGTGGAACGATGTCTGCAGGAAAGCTCAGAGGAATCAAAACTTTATAACAGCGGAAAACCTGGAAAATTTTAAGCAGGTCAAATCGCAGGAAAGGAGTATTTGTAGACAAGCCAGACGAGAAAGCTGGACAAATTTCATTATTGAGCATCAACTCGTTCACAGATAAGAGAAAAGAGTGGAACAAAGTCCAGAAAATTAAAGGCCAACAAACACATTTTCTCCTATTAATAAATATCCTCAGGGAAAGCTTGAAGACCAAGCAAATTTTCGTGGTGCACATTTTGAAAATATATCGAGCTTCTCACACTACTCTGACGAATTCCAAAAGTACAAAGCACACTTGGAACAACAAAATCATGAAAGAAAATCTTTTAAAAAGTCGAGGCTTACAACGAGCCATTCTGCTTAGCAGAATTACAAAGAGCACTGAACTGTTGCAGCACATCTTGTCCAGGTCCTGACTGCATAATGTATCAGATGCTGAAGCAACTACCCTTTGAAACCCAAAAAAAAACTCTCCTTTTTCTTTACAATCTTATCTGGTTTTTTGGTGTGATCCCCTCTCTTTGAAAGGAAGCTGTAATAATTCCCATTTTGAAGCAGGGTAAGGGTCTCTCGACTGCATCAAACTACAGGCTTATAGCATTAACCAGTTGCATCTGTGAAGTTTTTGAAAAAATGATTAATTGCCGCCTACTCCACTTCCTAGAATCAAACGAACTGCTAGACCCATACAAGTGCGGGTTTAGAGAAGGCTGATGCACTAACAATCATCTCATACGGATTCAGGCAGGCATACGTGAAGCTTTTTTTAATAACGAGTCTTTTTTATCTGTATTCCTCGACATGGAAAAGGCCTATAATATAGCGTGGAAGTTTGGGATATTGTGAGACCTCTCACATATGGGTATACGTGGTAATTCATTCAATATCATCGAAAGTTACCTGTCTGATCGCATATTCCGCGTTCGAGTGGGCACTGTCTTGTCTCGAACATTTGTACAGGAAACAAGAGTACCACAGGGTGGGGTTCTGGGCTGCACGCTCTTTATTATAGAAATGAACTCTCTCCTTGTTTACATCCCCCATAACATATTTTACTCCACATATGTTGACGACATCTAAATAGCTTTTCAATGGTGTTCCCTCGGCATCTGTGAGCGACAGGTCCAGCTTGCTAAAAAGAAAGTGTTTCAATGGGTTGATGAAAATGGGTTCAAAGTCAACCCACAAAAAAGCACATGAGTCCTCTTTGCACGGAAAAGAGGCTTACACCCTGATCCTCAGAGTGTCATGAAAGCCGAACGTCTTCCCGTAAGCACAAAACATAAGTTCCTATGTATAATCTGACCTGCCACGGTGGTATAGTGGGAGGCATTCGGCTGCTGACCCGCGGGTTGCGGGATTGAATCTCGGCTACAGCGGCTGCATTTCCGATGGAGGCGGAAACGTTGTAGGCCTGTGTGATCAGACTTGGTGCACGTTAAATAACCCCAGGTGGTCGAAGTTTCCGGAGCCGACCACTACGGCGTCCCTCATAATCATATGGTAGTTTTCGGACGTTAAACCCCGCATATCAATCAATCCTAAGTATACTCTTGGACGCGAATACTAACATTCGTTCCACACATTAAACACCCTAAAAATAAATGCATGAAAACAATGAATATTCTGAAGGTACTGTCGCACACATCCTGGGGCAGCGACAGAAAGCACCTCATGAATCTGTACAAAAGCCTGGTACGTTCACGTGTTGACTATGGGGTATATCATTCAGCCTCACCAAGAGCTCTGAAAGTGCTGGACCCAGTTCATCATCCGCTTTTCTACAG